CCAGAATGATTGTGATGCCACAACGAAATGGTCACTTAGTTTCAAGGAGATGTGCACCATTTAGTGCACAAGCAAAAGACTCCTTATCTATACAAGGAGTAATAATCTGAAAATAAAAAGGTAAGATTCTCAACATTTGCATATCCAAGATACTAAAGTAATCATGGGTCAAATGCAATTATTCTTATACTTTATTTTAACTGAAGAATATGTTAAAATTCATGTTCATATTGCCAAAAGAAAGGTATTAAATCTTGTAATTTGCATCGTATTTCAAGTTTTAATTCTTACGATAAGTTATCTCCTTCATTTAAACCTTTTCGCTGCTAGTTTATCTGCCTAAGAGATTCTAAAAACCATACAAGATTCTATTCTGTTGCAATAATGGGAGGTTAAGCGTATGTATCTCTCGAAGGGAGGCCGTCTTACTCTCATACAGTCCACTTTGTCGTAGCTTCTTACTTATTTCTTGTCCTTGTTTCTTATTCCTGTTGCAGTGGCAAAAAGATTAGAGAGGATCCAAAGGGAGTTTCTTTGGGGAGGATTAGGAGAGGAGAGGAAATTGCATTTGGTTAATTGGCATGCGGTTTGTTCTCCTATTAGATTCGGTGGTCTCGGATTGAGAAGTCTTGTATAGTTTAANTTGATAACTCTTGGCGATGTTGCATATCCTATCAGACTTGGTGCTTTTGTTTTAAAAAGCACTGGAAATGCTCTGCTTGTATCGTTTTTAATTCGCAATAGAATGGGGATTCGTGCCCTTGTTACATAACTTCATGCAAATTTACAGAATCAACTATCAAGAAACTTTTCCTCGAGGATACACGGACTACACACGTGTTAGATACAAACGACAAACACATTGACAAGTGATTTTTCAAAAAAGTAGGACATGGAAAATTCATATAATATCTTTATTTTATAATTTTTTATACAAGACAAGACACATGACATGTAGGACATTTGCCCTAGGGTGTCTCTAAAGCAGTAATTTAAATAAATATATGAAAAATGGGACAAGATACTGCCGAACATGGCATGCTACTTTAGTAGGAGTGTCTGTGCATCCTAACTTTTCTTCCAGGGGCTAGGATGGGCACAATACAGGTGCAACCTGGTCTTTGAATGAAATAGATGTGAAGAATGTTTTTCTAAACATGGAGCTTGAGCATATGAACTTGTTAACGGGATTCGGAGTATATGCTGAGGGGGAAGGTATGGTCTAAGCAGTCACATGCTTGGTTTTATAGGACTAAGTGCAAGATTATCAAAGTTAGTAATTGCTTAAAAGCAGCAGGTCCCAAGAAATGTGGTTAAAAAGTGTGTAAAAGTTGTGGATCCTATGGAATGTGAGGATAAAAATAGAATTTGGCCAGTTTATAAGCAATTATAAGATTTGACAAACATGCACCAAGTCAATGAAGAGGCTGAATATACTCAAAGATGATCAGACCACACATTGTTCTTCAAGAACTCAAGAGCTGGAGGTATCACCATTCTTATTGTCTATGTACATGATATTGTACTAATCAAGGATAACATAGTAGAAATGGAGTTTAATTAGAGATTAAGGACCTCGACCAGCTAAGGTATTTCTTAAGCATGGAACAAGATCGAAATGGGTATATTTGTTTCTCAAAGGGAGTACATGTTAAATCTCCCAAATGAAATTGGAATTGTAGGCCGTAAATCATTTGATGGTCCCAATGATACTTATCACAAGCCACGGAGATATGCCAAGAGGAACCACAAGGGATGAAGGGCACGAGGGATGAAGGGCAGTATCAAAATCGGGAAATTAATCTACTCGTCTCTCATAAGAGCTGACTTACCATTTGCTTTGTGATTCAGTTTGTGCACTCCCCTGTTAAGAACATCTTCAAGCTGAATATAGATTTTTGGGGCATTAAAAGGTTTACTATTTAGAAAATAAGACATGCATATTGAAGTCTATAAGATGATTGAGTAGGATCTATTTCAAACAGGCAGCTACAATATAGATTTGTGCTTTTATTGTATGTAACTTGGTGACATTAAGAAGGAAAAAACAGTTATTAATTGCAAATTCCGCCAAACCAAAACTTAGGGCCATGGCCAATGGGATTTGTGAGCTTATGTGCATGTAAAAGTTTCTAAAGGAATATAAGGTTACTATTATGGGTCATATGAAACTACTTCGTTATAATAAAGTTGCCACTAATGTTGCTCATAACCTTGCCAAACTTGTAGGATTAAAGCACATTGAAATTGATAAGACATTTTATCAAAAAGCTGTAATGAGGTACCATTCACATGCCTTTGCCACCATCAATAAGCAGCTGGCAGGCACATTCTCTAAATGACTAAAGATGCTAGAATTTGATACTTTAGTTAGCAAGCTCGGTGTGAGCGACATATTTGAACCAGCTTCCGGATAGCACATAAGATCTCAGGTTATTATAGACCTTAAATAAGGAAAACCATATGGCTATCCTAAGATTAGATAAGATTACTTATTTTCATTTGTTAATTTAAACTTAGCATATTGGTGCAACCAAGGTTTAAAAAGACGAAACTAAATATTGAGGCGGTTTTTATTTATGAAATGAGGCGTAAGCCTCGAGGCGCACAAAAATAAAAAATTTAAATAAAAGAATTATAAAATAATACAAAAAAAACCTAAGTTGGAGCATATAATAAATAGGATATATAGTCATTAGCATATTGAGATATAGTCCATCTAAAGAAAGAAAATGTTTGGCAAAAAAAAAAGCATTACAGAAGTTAGAAATCACTACATTTGTAATGGAAAAAAAGAAGCAGCTTAAACTAAAAAAGAGCCTAATAGTCTGCACTATCATCACTATTACTAGCATCGTTCTACACGACATTTATGA